CAATAATTTGTTTAGCGATAGCCTACAAGAGACTGAATAATCTCATCAGTATTTACATAATTTTGCAACGTTGCAAGCATCTGAGTTCTAAGCACACCAATCAGGATTTGGCGACCATTCTTGTTGTGGTTTTCTTGAGTTGTTTGATACTTGGCTCCTACAGATCGCATATTGTTCAGTATTGGTCATATGCGCATTTGGTATACTTGCCATATTTAACACAGTATTTCAATATGACAGCAATGTGTCTGCAATTTTACTATGTCTGCATTACAATTATTGGTGATTTTCAAACAATAAACATCAAGATTCAACATGCAATAGATAATATGAACTTAGATCCGCCACCGAGCCAGAACAAATCTAATAAAGGTAAAAAAAAAACAATATTATTCGGATAATGACTGCTGCACATGAAGAAGACTTTTGTTGCTTAGTCTATGGTTTTAGAGTTTTAGTTAAGTTTTACCTTAACTTTTTACCTTTTATTACCTTTATTTTGTACATCTATGTGTATAGTATGCAAAAATATGATTTGATCTGAGATTTTGACATTGGAATTACCCCAAGAACACATAAAATACTGTTGAGGTTTATATGATATACAGTGTAATCTCAATAGCAAACCCCCAAAATAACAAGTCACCCTTGATAACCAATTTCATTTTCAACTCAGAGAAGTAAGATGACATGCTTATGGAAAAACTGTGTGCTTTTAGCTCGGGAATGGTGGGGTCGAAATATACTAGTACCGAGCCTGAAAGGCTATTGTTTACAACAGCAGTTGTAACGCACAGGCTCTTCCTACAGTGAGCGCAGTAGTATGTGATGGTGAGGGGGGGGGGGGGGAGCGGAAGGGGACTACCAATATAATTTGAACTAGACACAAGAGGCTGGTACTACTTAAGTGTACCATTAATCATTATGAATGTATCCTCTGTATCTTTACTTCTGTGTTTTCAAATACCCTAGATTTTATTACCATTAATTACATGTTATTGCAAACCTTTTTTTTTGTAATCCCCATGAGTTACTTATTATCAAGGTTCTTTAGTAACTGATTGCTTCATCCAAGCTCTGCTATTGCTATATTTTGTGTTTACTAACACAAAATAAATTAAACTACTCAACTATAGTTCTGGGCTTGGGTTTAGTATTGTCCTTCATTATTCTTTTTTTGGACCTTTAAACAGCCATAATTTGTTACCGTATTTAACACTTGTGTATAAAGCAGCTGTGTGTCCTTCAAAGGTCAATCGATTAATCATGTTCTGTCGGTCAAGCCAATGCCTTCTACAACAGTCAGCTGTTTGGTCGCTACATATATCACATCTTGAGCTGTATTGTTGGAAGTTACTTGTTTGTTCCAGGAGGCAGTTCTTCACAAAAGATCCAAACTCTTATTGAGCTCTACTGGCTTCTCTGCGAGGCGGTGCATCAAGCCAACGCCTTCTACGGCTGTCAACTGCTGGTTGCTGTTTTCTCTGCATTCATCCACATTGTCATCACTCTCTACTATTTCTTCTTGCACATATGGCCTACCATCAACCTGGACGAGATACCCTACTTGCTGATGCAGGGGTTATGGATTGTTACTCATGTTACACATTTAATTCTCCTCATATGGCCAAGTACAGCTGTCACTGAAGCTGTGAGTTTTAAACTTTCATTTACACTATAATTTTAGAAAATAAAAATAACAATAATTTAATTTTTGTGTTTTTCAAATCTAAGAAAGGGTTATATGTATTTGAGATTTTACGATTAACATTCTGATGTAATGTTAACTTGTATTATTGGTGCAATAGTGGCTTGGCCGATAGCACAAGGAGTGTGAAACCACGGCAGCGAGGTTGAGGATTCGCAACTCAGTTTAGTCACTTAAAATTTATCTGTATCGTTCATTTTAGATCTGTAACAGCTCACTCCTTGCTTTGCTGCATACATTCTAAGCACTGGCTTGAGGTCCATGTGACCCAACTCAAGGTTAAAAGAGGTTGTGAATCTCATATAATAGGGGGTTAGCATTGTATCCATTTACTAAGCTATCCAAAGCCAATAAATTGTAAAAGTATCTTCAAGTGGCTTTCTCACAGGCACATGATGTAGATTCGTGGTCTTTAGGTGAAGACCGTGTGATACCACTCTAACACTTCTGTCCTCCCTGGTTGTAAAAGTACTAAAAGTAGTAAGCTTCACTAATTGTATCACTTGACATACCTTAAGACTTTAGTTTTCAGTGGAATTGCTATACTATGAAATACATGTTCAAAGAATGCAGATGGAATACAATATGGTGAGCTGGAAGCACCACAGACATTGGGCCCATGGCAGAGATGTCGTGGGCTCAGATCCTGGTACCTTCCACTACTTTTTATCAGTACAGTTCACCCTTGTGCTGTACTGGCTCACCTCTTGCTTTGCTGGATACGTTCCACGCTCAGGCCTCTGTGTACGAACAAATGCAAGGTTAAAGAGGCCGCCAACCTCTTTAAACAAAACTGTATCAGTTTTCTGAAAGGTCACACCTGAAACATACTGCTTATACGTGCCCCTTTAAAAGTGTAATTCGTTGTCATGCTTCATAGTCTAAATCCTGCAATTATTGGCTTGAGTTTAATCATCTAATAGTTTCAGTTAAAATGAACATGATTACCTAAAAATTACATAATGTACTTTTTAGGCAGACGAAACTGCACCAATGATATGCAAGCTTATGAACAGGGACTTGGACCCAGAAATCAAGAAACAGGTAATATTTTCTCTTAAGAATTATGGATAGTATTTATTTTACCATAGTAAATCTAACATGTGCGCTTTGAAACTCATTGATCAATCAAAATAACAAAATCTATCTACAGTCTTCTTTCTCAATTTTATTAATTCTTGCCTTTGATTTTGTTTTGTAAGAGCCATTTATACGAGCACTAATGACACATTTAACGAAGCGATAGCATCGTTTCATCGGTACAGTGGTAGACCCATGCCGTCTGCGTAAGCTGAGCGCTGAGCGTTGCTAGAGCTACGTGTTGTCGAAGCGCACATGAAATGATTGTTCCTAGCATTATTTATTGTTTAAAAGATTATCCAACTAGTGATGGACCAATTGGTAAAGATTGGCCCTATGCTTAAGTTGTCGATCAAGTTCTGATACGGTTCAGTAAAGAAAAAACGTGTTTTGTTAAACATTGTAATTTTTTTTCTTTTTTTTATGAAAATGTGTTAGCTATTATATATTTGAAAACTGCACAACTAAAAGCATTTCTATTTCTAAATTTGTAACGATCCTAAACAACCTAACTGGCTGGTATCCAGTAAATGACGCAACAACGCAGTGTCAGCGCTGTGTAGATCGGTAAACGCTAGCGATACGTGGTTTCCGCTGCACTTGTAGCGTCAAATACAACATGGACATTTAGCACCCTGATTCCCACGACAAATGCGCCGCAGCATTAGCGTTTGTATAACAGAGCCCTAAGGTGTTAAAAATGTTTCTCTATCTATAATCAAAACTTTGTTTTGCAAACAACAATACCAATTTATATTTTTTTTCACAAAGTTGAGTGCCATAATTTTCTGATTTACAAACAGAGGCATTTCACACATTTTCTAGGCCTATACAGAAGTGGCCTAAAATAGTTTAAACGAACATCCATTGGTTACTATCATAAAACTTTGTGTATTATTGTTACAGCTGGAAACATTTTTGCTTCAACTGCTTCACCACAATGCCAGATTTTCAGCACTCGGATTTTTCCAGATTCATAGCCATATTCTGACATCCGTAAGGAAATTCAAAATAGTAGTATATTTATAACTGCCTACAACAAAACTAAGAGTTGCATATTTTACCCAGTATTAACAAAAGCTTAATTTAAAAAAATCTTTCATGTAATACTATAAGGATAGGGTAATACTTTTTTTACTCTTAGATTGTATTATTTTATTGTATTTTTGAGTGATAAACAAACAAATGAAAATTAAGTTACTATTCCCAAGTAAATTTTACTTACATGTAACGTAAATAGATATTTCGCTGAACTAAACTTTCCTTATAACTTTAAATAGGTAAAATTTTAATTAATTGCGAGTGTCATATTGATATTGAACATTACAACCACTTTGGCAATTCCAGATGGCTGGGTCAGTGACGACGTACCTAGTTATCCTGATCCAGTTCCAGACGACACCAGGGCCTAACACGATGGTGCAATCTTTACTTGCTGGCAATATTACTACAGTGTCTCCAAAACCTGATGTTTGAACGTTACGTGGATCAAAAAGAAGGATGTACTTCATACACTATCAGTATCACAAAAATAAAAATAAATGTACAAAAACAGTGTTGCTTGTGTGGAAACATGTTTTAAATTCTCTATGTAATACTGGTGTTGCTTTAGATTTTTGATAGTGCGAAACTGAGCCCAGCTGTTCTTGATCATTTGCAAACTCTGGCCAAAGAAACAGCTGATCTCAGCAACAAAGCTACGCAGATCATCTCTCTCCATTCCGCACTCATTATTCATTATATTTACTATAATAAGCTCCAAAGTGTGTGTCACTCTCTTAAAGAATTTAACTAAATAATTTGGACGTACATAGATTGTTTTTTGTTTTTACGTTCATTCACTATTTCATTACCCGATCATTACCAATTTTAGGCAGGGGTTTGTTTTGTTTAGGTGTTCTTGTTATTTATATATTTGAAAGTAGTAAATACAATTTAATGCACCAAATAAATTCTACTAAACCACCGTTGTTTTATCTGAGTGTTTCCATTTCTTTCTTGTTTGTTACACCATACAATAAGTTTGGTTTAAATTTTTAAGGTCTAGCACTAATTTACATCTTCTACTATCCTCAGAATAAAAAGTTTTTTCTCAGGTTTGAAAGCTAAAAAGAACAAAATTTTCTGATCTGCAAAGATATATTGACCCTGCAAAAAAATAACTGGAATACAGCCAAGGGAGAAAATACAGGTGTATATAAAACCAGTTATTTATTGTCATTCATATTTGTATAAGAAGACTTTTACTAAGGATATTGAGGGAAACAGTGGTGGAACCATACCTAGGATTGTGGCTTATACAGACTTACAGGCACCAAAAACTCTCGATTGATATAAATCGTATGTAAATCAGTAGTTTTTATCTCACAAACAGAAGCTGATATTTTTAGCTAAAAAAAATAATCAAGGGCACAGTACAAAATGAGTTTCAGGATAGGCCTACTAGAAACAGTCTCCCTTAGTATACAAAAATTGATCAAACCAGATCAACAACTTATTTTACATTTATTTACACCTATGAGACCATTACAAGAGTATAAACAGCTAAAACTAAAAATAAATAATCTCTCAGGGTACAACATAATCTAACTTTACACATATAAAATTCAAATTGTCATACACAATATCACAGGTAAACAAATTGCTTGTTGTAAAAACTTGTTTGCCTAGTAGGAATATAATGACTCACTAGGACTGGTATTGTTTGATTCCCTTCAGTTCAACATAGGGCTGTTGAAGCCTCAACACCACAAACACGTCGTTGGCAAACACTCGTTGGAAAGGTAGCGGAGAGCCCATGAACAGTTTGGGACACAGAGGAGCCTGGTCCTTACTGACAGGGTCCTGGACATCCCACAGGTCTAGCAGATGACACCCATTCCTGACAATCAGGGAATTACAAGGTGAAAGAAAAACAAAGATGTGGAAGTTTATGAGATTGCATTTGAATACCCATGTGACTATAGAGATTATAGACTCTAGACTGTGTAGCTGATGACTAAACCTATCCTACAAAACAGCACAGTAATGTTTCTTGTAATATTTCTATGACAATGGTGATCTCAATTAGTCTCAAAGGTTAAAACTGCAACCCTCATCTTATTAACATGGTACAATTTTTTATTCACGACTCTAGTGTTTAAAAAATGTGTGGTGCTTCAAAATATTGAGCAATCAAATTGTAATAGGTCTTAAAAATGTTTTTTGTACAGTTCTAGTTCTTCTAAAAGAAAATGTATAACTCAGTAAAATGCTTACTTGCTTCTTCTGAAGCACCAGTGGTCTGAAATGACTAGATATTCCACCTTCATGGAAGACAGCGTTTTGAACACATCGTCTGCTGAGCTCCGGCTAAAAGCTGAGTACACCTTTAGTGTTCTTTCCCTGAAAAATAATATTCCATGAGCAATTTCAAACTTGAAAAATCTACAAGTTTGTTAGATGGATATTTTACTGTTTGTTCAAACTTTACTTTACTTGGTGGTTTATGATAGATTTTACTTATTTAGCCTATTACTTCAAAGAACTTCTCTAATTATCTTAGCAATTCTAGACCAAAAAATTACCTCATCAAGCAAAAAATATCTTAATCCTATAATAGGCCTACTCAAGTATAGAACCTTTTAGGTAATTAAATTAACAAATATTTCCACATTATGTCAAACTTAACTCCATCAGCCAAGTATTTACCTAAGTCTGGCGTCCTCGTAGTGAGGGTGGTTGACTACGGGCCGCTTGGTAGACAACATGATGGCAGACATGACTGGCATCGGACCAGCAAACACTGCAGTGGTGGAGGTCCGAGTAGTGACCCACGTTAGCAGTTCCTCCAATGGTGGGTTAGAGTACTCTCCTGAATAAGTACAATCAAAATTACTGATCATGCTTTACTTTGGATCCATATCATAAGAGCGTAAAGAAAGGACTCTAAGAATTGAAATTGTCAGAGGTAACTTATTGCCTAACCACAGAATGCCATTCATACTTGGCGAAGGTGATAATTTTCTTTCAGGATTTTTAATACAATGTCCTGACTAATCGTCCTATATTGATGGGAAGCAGCTAGAATTGTAGTAAATTAAGTAACAGGAGGCTGCTCTCACATTTGAGCTCCATCGTACATTAATTACAGTAGACCCCCTCTTAACCAAACTCGCATTAAGCGATAACCGTATTATCCGCCCTCGCTTGTAAAATATTACATTTTTGTTTGACTTTTAACAGACACTGATTTGAGAGCAGTTCAGTTTAACCAATGCTTTCTAGTGATCTTGTCATCTCCACTCCAACGCTCAGAAATGGGAATAACCGATAAAATAGAGAGATAAAAAAATTGTAAATTGAAATTGTAATTTTTGTAGAGTAATTAAAGGTTTTTTTAAATTAATTTTCCTAATAGATCTTCTATAGTGTGTCAAACCGAAGCAAAACAGCAAGATCATGTGTACAGATAACAATTGGTATGTACTGTACACAAAATATTTGTACAAGCTTATTTATTTACATTTCTGAAAACAGCTGCAGTAATATGGTCTGGAGTAATATATTACTAGTGTACATGTTGCTCGAATTCGAGCAATTGCAAAGTATTACATGAGTTATTTCAGAACGAATAACAATCATATTTACAATGCGTTTGAAAGAGTCAACTCAAAGATTAACGGTGTGTAACTCAGACCATGTTTATCTTCGTTATTGATGAACCTAAAGCATTCCGGCCGGTTTTCTCCTTCTCAAAATGCCTCGCTGTACAGGCAACACAGGTCATTGATAGAGGGCCAATTGAGAACTAAAAGTTGTGTTGGAGTAGTGTTAGGGCGCCTATAACAGGTTATTTTTAACCTAATTACTAATTACCTACCTAATTACCTTATTACTATGTTTAACCTAATAGTTAAGATTGTCCAGGGTCAGGTGCTGATTGTGATGAGTTAAGCCTATTACGCTATTACGCGCCACTGTTCTGTAGCTGCGGTCGTTATCACGATTACGCCTCCTGTCTATGTTTTTGCTGTCGTCGCGTCGGAGGCATTTAAAATAAACAACAAATAAACATATTATAGCTACACAAAACATCGATAAATGCACAAATTTAAGTTACAATCATGCTAACACGATCCATCATAGCGACACAAAACAACGATAAATACACAAATTGAAGATACAACCATACTAACACGATCCGTCTTGGGGGTTATGTTTACACAAACTCAAATAGTAAATAAATGTACTCAATGCGTTTCATTGAATTGAAAAATAAATAACAGCAATTAAATTATACAGCTGATCAAAATGTAAACAATTATGTTCTTCATAAGGATAACATGGGAACTTTCAAAGCCACTGGGGCAGAGCCCAGGGGACTTTTCAAAAATGTAAGGCCAGTTTGCAAATCTACGCGACCCGCTCTTTCCAATGAGACGTCAATGGATAAAATCGGTTAAGAAATGGCGGAGGAGTTCAACCGACAAAGTTTCATGTAGCGTATTAATTATATAGATTGCTAGAGTAAACAAACAAAGCACCTTGTAGGGAGGGGAGGGGAAGAGGGTCATCGACTCCAAGGTCAAGATAGTTTTTTTGTGACTCAGGCCTCCAGTGAGATGATATAAATGATCTCCTGTCTCATAACAAAATGGTTGCTTATCTTTAATTTTGACTACAAGTTCTGTACTGTATTACAATAGATTTGAAAATCATCAATTAATATTACGCAAGGTATTAAAATGTTGCTCTCCATATCAATAACTAACATTGGAGACCAGGTAGGCTACTGTTTAGTATTCTGGATTTCCAATTTTGCCAAAAGGTGTCAAATAGTATTAAAAAATGTTTCACTTATTTGTTACTTATTTTTAATAAGAAACAGAAGCTTAAGAAAATTAAACTAGTAAACAAAATGTTCAAACTTACCAATGATATTTCTTTGTTGTAAAATATTTGGTATGCCTTTAACACTCATTCCTCCAATAATGATGACCAGTAGGGCATACCTCACTTCATTTGTTTGTATTTTGTCTAGGTACTGGAATAAAAATAAATAAACTTGTAAGCACGTTTTGTGGGGTAGTACTTATTAAACGTAAATTTTTACACTAAGTTCCTTTTGACCTCTTAAAGTCTGAGTAATTATATCACCATAAACATGCCTGGGCCGTGGGTTTTTTTTAGATTTTGAAGATATATTGAATGTAATTAAAACTGTACAAACTCATTTGCATTTGTACTAAAACATATAGAATGTTTAAGTGCACTTTAGACATATAAATCTTACAGCGAGCACTTTAAATTTGGTATTTAGCAATGGTAATTAGGTACGGTATTTGGTAATTTTTTTAGTGATGCAATTTTAAAATTATGTTGGAAACTTTCAATGCATAATAACCAACTTACGTTTCACCAAATTTTAACACCAGATTGAATGATCAATATACTCTCAAGAACAGTTGCTATACATAATGCAAGAGTTTTAAAATCAACAATCTACCTTTCTGGATGTAACTAACGATGAAATCAAACACAAATGAGGAGTGAAAAATAGCTTCAAGCGCATTACGAGCACAGCCATAACTGCAAAAGCTGCCATCTGGAGGATATTATAGGCAACTTCAGGCTCCACATGTTTAAAAGACCTAAAATAAAAAAAATTACATTAGACGTTATATAGCGCATTTGAGTGACGCGAAGACATCAAAACGAAAACGCTCTTAAGACAATTTATTTCAAACCCTGAAAAGAGGCTTTTTTCATGGCAGGATTTTCTAATTTTGCATGCTTACTAACAAATGTGCATTAGTAATAAAAAATAACACATATATTGATAAAATATTTTTTATTCATATAGTTATCTTGGTTGTACTCTTGTTGTTATTTATTTATTTTTATTTTTTTTACTTACATTTGGTAACATTAAAATAAATCCATACTCAAACCTTTATAAATATTATATTTTAATAAAGGCAATTGTAATACAATTCTAGAAAAAAAGGTTTTATCACAATATTTGCAAAAAGAAAATAGTTATAGCCATTTTATAGAATCACTGCGTTTAAGTACAAAATGGCCTCGGCGGTTCTCGATTACACGAATGAAAACATGCTGGCGGCAAAAGGGTTAACTGTATCTTTTGTTAGAATTTGAGGCATTTATAATTTTATTTTATGAACAGAACCATTTTTTTTTATTAGTAAACCTTTTTTTGATTTTTATCTTATATCTTCTTTATATTATCAGCAAGTTTGGTTGGTTAGGTTCTAGGTTATGACAGTTTAATTTTATACTTAAAAAATTATAAAATTAATTTTAGAATTTTTATTAAACTGACGTGAGGGGCTCTCCCACAATCCCCCACTCCTTCGCAGAAGAGGTTCTCATCGGTTTCTGACCAGGACCCTGAGACGCTAGTCAAACAAACCGGCATCACACTAAGTCCGTCACTCACACACGTTTGGTCGAGCTGACCAGTCCTTTTCGCGAAAATACAAGACACTAAATCTAGGAGAAGGGCAAGTGTGGGAAATTATTCATGTTGTTCCTAGAAAGATTTGGGTGAGGTATGTTGGCGATGAATACCGCCGAGGCCCGTTAAATACAAGTTTTACTAACATCATTACTAACCCGGTCTTTTAGACCTGCATGTGAGTCCTCTCGGGTTAAGGATCTTGAACAATGGCATACTGACAGTAATATAAGCGTCTAGACTGCCAGTGCAACTCCGAGGAACGAGGATAAGATCGGAAAACCCCCCACCACCGCTCCGTGCCGATGGCGTGACGTCAACCATTACCGCAACGATACGGAACTGAGTCATGAGCCTTGGTGGTGTAGTGGATAGCGTGTCGGGCTGATAATCGGAAGGTGCCGGGTTCGAATCCCACTGATAGTACTAACTTTTTGTCAACAATTTTTTTTTCATAACAGCAAGTTTGGTTAGTTTGGTTAGGTTATGACAGTTTAATTTTATAATTTAAAAATTATAAAATTGAATTTGAGACATTTATTTTATAATTTTATTTTTAGAACAGAACTATTTTTTTGATTAGTAAACCTTCATCCGAGTTTTTCATTATCAGCAAGTTTGGTTAGTTTGGTTAGGTTATGACAGTTTAATTATATTTAATTTAAATTTAACCTACAAATGATACGTTTTGATAGCAACAGTGATAGAGATAACAATTTTAGCGCCTCTGATCCTCGTTCCTCGGAGTTGCACTGGCAGTCTAGACGCTAGTGACAGTAATTATATGTTTCCATAGAAACTATTTATTTTATTCATTTCCTAACACAGAAAAAGATTGCAAGATGAAAATGATTCCTTCTGTAAAAATTATTTAGAGGAAGAAAACAGGTTCAAGAAAGTTAAGTCTATTTGCCCCATTCAGAGGGTACTATGTAGAGCAGGCCTGGAAGATAAAACATCAGTGAAAACTTGGCAGAATTATTCCGTTCTTGTCACTACATAAGAACTAGCAGAGGGTCACAATAGTAAACAACCAAGCAGCAACTCCTGGGGAAAATGGTATGTTATAGAACTTGGAGACCTGATGTTGTATTGTATTGCTTCAGTAAAACAAAATGTATCCACATAGTAAAAAGGATTGTTTAGAGTAAAGTGCCAAAGGATTTGCCAAGGAAAAATGTTTAATAAACATGATGAAATGTAGGACATAATGCAACCATGGATGATGAAATTGAATCTCTGAGGAGAAACTCCAAGAGGAAGAACCTGAAGAGTTCTGCAACAACACTGACAACACTGTGAGCCAATTGAAGACACGTGGGGCAAGTCCTGAAGAAGATGGAACAGTATGAGTTAGAACCAACTTTAGTTTTAAGTATGCAATGTATCTAGTATTAAGTATCTTTGTACCTAGTGTTAGTATTTTATGTATCTTGTAATAAAGTATCCGTGCGCTTTCCTACTTCAGCGTATACGGAGCGTCCCCTGGGTGGCGGATAAGGGGAAGGTTGGTGGATCTGCTTGTCAGATCTCCCGGCTAGGTCCGATGGACCCGCTGACCAGAAGTAGGTGAGGTCCTCCATTCATATTGGGGGTTGAGGTGATGGGCTAACCACCCTCCCTTGTAAAACAACCCTGGTTACGAACCGCCTATGAAATGCCTTGGGGAAGATGGATCACATTGGACAACGACCTAAGCTGCCTTATAAGGACTTGAGATTTGAAGGTGGAACGTTCGCTCTCTGGCTATGACAGGTGCTGTGGACATCATTAGCAGGGAACTGGAAAAGTACAAAATGGATGTGGTAGCCCTGCAGGAAAATGGGTGGCCATTTGATGGATTCATTAACGCTGGAAGTTTTACGTTATACTACAGTGGTAGATATGATGGCATACATCAAGCAGGAATGGGATTAGCCATTAATAAAAAGATTGTAGACTATTTTTTGACAAAAATATTGTCAAATTTGAGGCTGTGAATGAAAGACTGTGTTATGTAAGATTAAAAGGAAAATTTAAAAACCTATCTGTGTTAAACATTTATGTTGTAATGGAGGATAAAAGAGTGACGACAAGAAAGATGATTTTTATGGTCAATTTAAATTCAGTATTTTGGCTCCTATACACTACAAGCTGATTAATGAATTATCAAATAAATTGTTCGCTTGGCTCATATGCACTATGATCTGTAGAGTAAGTGAACCCTCTTCATTATTTTTATATGCCTATTAATATATAGATAAAGGCTCGTAGTGTATACGAGCTTGTAGTGCAAGTGAACCATCAAAATTATTTATTAGGCTCGTATACGCTATGATCTATAAAATAAATATTTGAAGGCTCATAGTGTCTATGATTTGTAGTGTAGGTGAAACCTAACACAATATTTGTTGATAATCAAGTATTGAACTAATTAGAAGACACATCATTTTTAGGTTTGTCTATGGTCTAATCATAGATGAGAATTTAGCGTGGGATAATCATAATATTATTAATAATCTTGTTCGAATAACATCTAGCAGCCTTTACGCGTTGAGGAAAATGGCTTTGTCATGTAATATTGAAATTTAAAAAGCAATCTATTATGCATTAATTCATTCACACATTGCCTATGGCATTTTTGTCAATGGATCGACTACAAAAAAACATGGACAGAGTTTTGCTCCATCAAAAAAGGGCATTGAGGGGTTTAGTATACTGAAAGTATTCACAGTCAACAGTCTTTTCAATTATGAGTCAATAAAACTTGTTTTGATCAATGATAAAATTGCATTAGGTAACAATGTTCATAAATAGAACACAAGATCATACCAATTCGTAGAGCAGCACAATTTGGAATTTTATAAGAAGAAAATAGCTATTTAGGGAAAAAAATTTACACCACCTTCTAGAAACTTTAGAATTAGAAAAAACCCAAAAAATTTGTTTAAATCATTAAGAAAACTAGATATTTCATGTACCAAAAAATGTACATTATATGGAATAAAATGATGTTGATAACTATTTTGAGATTTGAAATTCTTGGTATCGAACATCATTATATTATTTTAAAGCTATAAAGCGGAATTAACATAACTTCTTGCCATGTAAAAAAATGAGGTTAGCCTATTTACCTGAATACCAACGCCCGCTGGGCCCAATGTGTGCTGACCAGTAAGAGCACTAGACACACAGCTGGTAGCAGCCACGTCTCAAACAGCTTCATGATCGGTTCCCAACCGAGGACATCAAACTCCACAGCACAGGTGTACAACAGTGTGTGGAAGTCCTTGTAGCTGCTGATCTTTGACTTCAATATATTCAATACATGAGCCTGAAAAGATAGAATACATTACAAATTGTTTGAAATATTAAAGGAAATCATGGATAGAAAGGGTGTGCTGCAAACCAAAGTCAACTTTGGAAGCCTCAAAGATTATTTATTGGTCCAACCATGCCTAGTTTTATTTATCATTCTTTTCCCTTAGCTTATGAATACAAAAATTTCTTTTCTTACTAAAGAAGTTTTTTGCAGGTACCATAACAATAAGAACAGAAAACGGTTGTAAAATGTGTGATTATAGGTGCATTTTACAAAGAATCTACGGATTCTGTCAACTTTCACAATGTGTATACAGTTTTGCTGGGAGGAAAGAAGATGTAAGAGAGGGTTTTGTTATATTTTGCTGTTATGGCAAACTGTACCTAACAAAATGAAAATGATTTTAAGGTCTCGTAAGATAAAATTCTGTAGAGTTAGTACTAGGTACTAGTAAAGTCTGGCAATATTGTAAGAATTTAAAACATAAAAGCATAGAAAGAAAATAATAAAAAATAAGCTTTAAAATATATCAGCTTATGATAAAAAATCTTTGATGATCCGAGATACTGAAATAAGCTTTAAAACTGTATCACTCTCTTGATAAACAGCCCAAGTTAATGTGAATCAATTGGTAAAAACATACTACATGCTAACATTGTGTAAGATTCCTTAGAAACTAAAAACATTCTGATTAAATTTTAGGGATGCAAAAGTATCAACGAAACTGTAAACAAACAAATAATTTCACAAACAAAAGTTCAAGATCACTTACATCTTGATTAGCAGTGAACACTCTAGTTTTCATCAGCAGTGTGAAGGATGCGATGAAGACTAGAACCAGAAGAGATCTGACACTAACATGCCACCGTGTTGGCAACACTGGCGCAACAAACAGTAGAGCCACTGATGAAGACATGATCAGACACGTTAGTAGAGAAGTCAACAACATCTCATTGCCAAACATCACCACGAGACTTTGTATAACACCTATCTGCAACAAGAACAGAAGAGTTGTTTTGGTTTCAATTACTATCATATAGTGGTTTTAATTGTTGCCTCTATCCAATATACAAATATTCATACGTGATTAGGTTAGTAGGGGAGGGTCTCTAAAACTAAACCAGTTTCACAACGTAGACATTAATTTTAGTCTATCTGGGTAGTAGGTCTAAATAGGTTCTGAGCCACAAGTTTTTTTCTTGTTTTGCCAAGGAAAATGCTTATGTAAACGTCACACACTTTTAAGGAGAAGGAATCCAACCCCTCAAATTTGTGTGTGTGTGCTGGGGTTTGAACCCGTCCCACTCACGTGCTAATTTCTAGATTGGAATCACAACCAAGTAATATTACTAGATAGCTCCAGCCTGAACCTTGGGCACCAGAACTAAGTATAAGGCATATGCAAATTTTTTTACTTACAGCAAGTCCATAAATGATTATGAGCGTTGAGAATCGACTGGTGATGTTCAACAAGTAGAGAAGTAGTACAGCTGTCAACTGAGTGACAAGAAAGAACTGAGAAAACTGCCACAGAGTCAGACACAACAACGAAGAGAGGCCCAACAGGGTTACCTGGCCAATAACACAACAACATGAATACTTGCATTGAAAAAGATGTCTTGCCTATGTAATATCAGTACATTGACAACAATATATCATTCTCTTGCGCATAGCCACATTCCATACGGTATATCTTTGTATGGAGCTACAACAAAGAAAAGCCTTATCAAATCCTAAAATTACAGCAAAGGGTATTAAGACTAAAAAACTATGAAGTGTTAAAATTCATTTAAATACATTTTTTAAACTGCACTCATTGATAGAGAAAGTATACCAGATAACGCACAATTATGCTACAATACAAGAGGAAAAGCCTTAAGATAAAATAGTCCCGATCATCTTATTTATTTTTAAATAAAAAGCCCACCTGTGCCGGAAGAAGGTTTTTACGTTATCTTCCAAATAATTTAAAAACCATTGGCAGCATCAAATTTAAACAAGAATTAAAAAATATCTTATAGAAGTTGCTCCTTACTCCATTAAAGATTTGTTTCCTCAATTAAATAGATTTTATTGGTTGTTTCTAAGTATTGTATAAATTGTAATTTTAAAAGTAATTTTAGCTTATAACTGTATTTACTAGGTTAGGAATTTTGACGCTATTCAATGTAGAACGTACAACTAACTATTGAATCAAGATATTGATATGGAATATGTATGACAAAAAACTGTATAATCTGGCATTGGTCCAAGGGGTTTCAATTTTTTTTGCACTGAATAAGCCTTTCTGAGCGGGTTCAAAAGAGTTTGCTAGCCACCAACTTAGGTCATTAAAACTCAGAAAAATTGCTTTTTTCTATTTTTCAACTCTTTATGATTTTCTATAACTCAACTATCCTCTTGAAAATGACTATTTTCAAACCACCCTCAGTAATCTGGCGTTTTCAGTAAAATGGCACAGACCTGTTTAATGTGGTTATTTTACAGAACACGAAGTTTAAAAGATATCTACCTCACAGAAACTAACATGAATTGATTAATTTAACTGTCAGCGTCAAAATACCCATAACCTAAGTAAGAGGTTATTTGAGGGGGTACCCTTGAGCCAGTTTTATTTACAAGACATATTAACATGACAAAACTCACTTGGTATGGTGGTATTGGTAAACATTATCCAAGATTATAATATTCCTCAATCCTTAAAGACAACACAGATCAGAGAAATACAGGAGTAGTCCTACTGATTAAAATGATGACTTCCGATTTTTTTTAAAGTGGCAGCTTAAGACGTTCCCGTCAGTAAATGACACAACATTTTTATAACAGCTTTACTTCATGTTTTAAGAAAAGAAGAATTAAATAATTACAACAATTAAAACAACTTAACACACTAAACAAAAAGGTCACACCAAATCTTGATATACTGGTACTTGAAATTTTTTATACTACCAACCGAAGTAAATTTTCTACAATAAAAAAAATAAAATCAGGATGTCATACCTGCATGGCATGATATCTGTTGAAACCAGTTTCCTCCGAGCTGTGTCGGTTCTGGTTGAGAAATATCGTCACTGCCATCATGTGTAGCAGACAGAAAGGGTAAGCGAAGGTCTCGCGTAGAGGAGGAGCCCACTGCACTCTAGTGCACTAGCAACACATCATGTGACTTAAACTCTATTGCTCTACGAATTGGAAACAAATTCAATTTACTGGACTAGTAGTAATTATTTTCCACCTAAATAAATTTGTAGGCAGTGCATTCATATTCAATACAAATCTTACAATTTAGTCAAACCTTTAAACGTAATTATTTTTACCTTCACAAGTTTTTTTTAATGTTTTTGTAAAAGAATTTACCAAATCCTGGTTTTAATCCTATAGTCAGCTGTGTGTAATAAATTAAAAATGGCATCAGGGTTCGGCTTTGATACAGGAGCCTGACAAGACCTATATCGGATGGGCTATTCAGACGATTATTATCATTAATAAGTAAGTTTTGACATTCAGGCTTGTTACTTACCTCACCATGATTATAGAAGAAGCATACAACTGCAATGATTCCTCCAAGTAACGATTCACTACAACAATCAATTGAATGTTATTTCAAAACAATATTAAAATCAGTGTTGAAAAGCGAGATATTTTATGAAGCATTGCTCAGTTGAGGAAATAGTAGCTAGCAGCTATAGCACGATAGTTTTATAGCAAATTTTCCTATAGGGAAGTAGCTATTACTGTAGGTGGCACAGCAAGACATAGATGTTCCTTGAGGCTAAAAACACTATTCAGTCAAATGTTTATATACATATAAATGTGGCTGGAAGGTGTAGGGCGGGATAAACTTTGAGTCATGGGAAAAGGGTATTGAGATTTTGAAATTTACAAAAGTTGTTTTAACTTTTTTATTTTTAAAATATGGAAATGCCCAATTTTTGTTGTGACATCATATAGAGCTAAAAATAACAGACAATTTTGTATAGCCTACTGAACCGTGGACTGGTTGTACAATTAAAGGTTACCGAGAAAATAAAAAAAAACTGTAAATTTAAAATTTTCATATGCCATTCTTATGGAGAAAAAGAAAAACTGTTGTAGTTTGTTTTTGTTGATACTATTTGGCAAATTTAATTATTCCATACTATACTATTAACATTTGGTCAAAAACCGCTTTTTCCTTTCCCCTTGCAGCAAACCTAAGTAGGCCTATTTATTTCTTTAATGTTAATAAAATGGGAAATAAATATGTTTGCTAATGGAAATCTATAAGTAAAATCCAATCAGACAAATTGAAATTCACTCAGTTTCTAGGTGTGCTGGGGCAGGGGGAATGTTGGCAATACCTAGTTTTGGCAGTTTAAAAGCTACTTCTAAAACACTTTTTTTTGTAATGCAGACAATATTTACATGAAATGCCTTAGAAAAAAAAAACTGTTTTTCTACAAATGTTTTAATAACATGTTAGGATTATTATGTACAAGGATAGGGATCAGCTAGCTTACCTGGTAGACAGAGTCCAATTTAGCCTTGGTAACACTCATAAAACAAATATCACTACACCAAAGACATAATATTTCGTCCCAGTTAGGGACTTCATCAGAAGGGAGAAGAAAGAAGACTGACTTTTTTAGCGAATTTCCCATATAGAGAATATTAGCGAATTTCCCATATAGGGAATAAGCTATTACCGTAGTACTAATGGTAAGACCTGGACGCGGTACCGATTTTTTTTCGTTTTGAGGTCCCTAGAGGCCAAAAACACCATCCGTTCAAATTCATATATATATATATATATGTGTCCGTTAGCACGATAACTCGAGCAAAAATGATCCGATTTTGATGAAATTTGGTACAAACGTGTAAACCTACGTTTATTCTAACGAGTTTGCGATCCAGCATGATCGGACCATGGGAACGGGGGTTTACGGGGGGTTTTACAGGGTAAAAATAGGTTTTTCCCATTTTTGACCCAAAAAACATAAAATTTAGCAATTTCTTTCCAAACCATTTTGTAGAGCTTAAAAAAACAAATAATTTAGTATATTGAAGCGTTATTATGCGCCTAATGGTTACGGAGAAAATTCAAAAAAATTGTAAATTTAAAATTCCCATGTTATTCTTATGGAGAATAAGTAAACTGTTGTAGTTTGCTTGTTTATGAACATATTTTGATCAAATTTGGAAAACGTTTTTATTTCTTACTAACTATTAACATTTTACAAAAAAAAACAGTTTTACCCTCCCTGATGCAGCAAACCTAAGTACTTGTTAAACTAATTCTATTTAAATCGGGAATAAATGTCATATTTTTAAGTAGACATTTCAGTGTAAATCAAATCAGTCAAATGGAAATTTGCTTAGTCTGCAGGTTTGCTGCGGCGGGGGTATTTATATGTGTAGGTACAAATATCAAAATCCACAAGAGAGGTCTGAGAAACCTGTGTAGGCCTTTACACATTTACTATCTTTCAACGTATTTGTTTCCAAGGAAACAAAGGAACTGAAATTTAAGAAAAATATTTGTAAAGGCATAAGCAGCCTTCCCTGAGCCATAAACTAAGACAACACTATGTCCAGGAAGTCGTGTCAGACCGTAAGTACTCTTGAACTTGTTATTTTTCCCAAAGTCTTACTCTTAAATGTAACTCATTTGGTAAATGGTAAATAATTTTTGTAAACCCTTCGATATTTGTAAACTGTTAAGATTTACTGTAAAGGTAATACTTTTGCGGAGTTAGGTATTTTTTTTACCAAACTGAATATTAGGTATACGAGGATCAATATTCCTAACTTAAAATAGTAAAATAGTATAAAGTAGGTAACTAATAAAAGTTGTGATATAGGGATATTTTCATGATGATTCCTATATTTGAAAACTGCCTTTAAGCCGGATTTTCCAAGATGCACCGCTCCGCTTCTGGGAAAGCAGTAACATTAAATTACCTAAGACAAGAGGAGTCCGCTATCCGCGCCTAGGAAATCAAAGCTTTAGCAAATAGAGAATATATCAGATTATAATTTTAAAGTTAATATTGAACTAGGGCGTTCACGAAGGCGTCGCTAATAGGATTGTAAAAGGGTCGTGCGGGTCCAGCTGGTAATGGCCCTGCAGGTCAGTTTGGGCTGCCTCAAGTTATGGTGGCAAGAAATATAACACTTTAGCTTGTTCAAAATTAACTATAAGTGAATAGCTTAATAACTTTTGTTAAGGTATTGGATATTGCTTTGCTTATTGAATGAAGTCAAGAAATTGACAACTAAAGTTTGCGATCGGCCGATCCTTTTCAGGTATATGTTCCTTTTTTATTATTTTCGATCCATAAAAAATTGCGTGGACATTAATGGTTTGTTATGAATTATGAAGATAAAAAGGGTTTACATTTAGGGAATTCCTAATTCAATTAATGATTGAATAACTCAAGCGTGGTTTTTCCTGAAACTAAATCAAAATTGATTTAGCTTCATTGTTTCTTCTAGCTTGTCCCTTCCAGCATCCCGTTGGATCAGATTATGCTAAAGGTGCAAATTCATTAGAGATTGATAATCTAGGCGCTGAGCCTGAAGAATGATTATGCAAAATGCTGGTATAAAACACATTCTTTCATTTTGGAAATTGCTAAAGCAAATCCCTTAGTATTTTGGTTTAAATAAGTTGCCATGGTTTTCATTTCAATGATTTTAAAACCTGAAAAAATTGCGGTCTGGATGGAATCTCAATAACGTTTTCATTTCTTGTAACCAAAAGTAAAAATTAATATCAATAGAAATACAGTACGGTTAGCACACTAAAAAGGATGAGGAACAATTAGTGGAATAACTGATCTGCGTTGCAAATCACTAAGAATCGACTGATTCCGTAAAAGTCCGAGTAGACGACTGGACGACCATCTTCCTCCGAGCTTTACCACTGACAGGTATCTCTTCATGAGTTTCAACAGACCCGGTAACATTTAGTTAAATGTTAAACCTCATTAATAGCACTGTGAGATCATATCTAATAAGGTATACTTACAACTTATAAAGAAACCGTTTTCATACCTGTACCTATGGTCATGAAACTCTGGCCATTTTTGTTTGTTCTAGGATGCTAGGCATGACCCCGGGATTATTTTTAACATTACTTCAGGCTAGACCTAGTGGTTGGTTTGTCTCTTAGATAAAATCCATTGGTGATTTGGTGGGATTTGAACCCGGGACGGGCTAAAGTCCCACGCTCTAGATCAGCTCGCTCCCCGGCTATTTTAAATAAGTGCATGTTACAAGTTACATCCGTTCCACAAATATTTGTGTATGGAAGTGGATAGAAAGGGTGTCAAAGATTGTAATGTCAGGAATGAGAGGCTAGACGGAGAGCCCACAGATATGTAAGGTACAGAGGAAACATGCTTATGGGACAACTGTGCACTTTGGGCTCTGGTATGTTGGGGCGGAAATATACTTGTGACAAGCAAGGAAGAGCCCAAACGGCAAGCACTGTGTGAAAATTCCAATCCCACAGGGCATAGCTAAGGTCTTCCTCCACCGTGAGCATTGCAGTAAATGAGGGCAATCGAGGCAGTCGGGACATTGCTCTAGACACCAGCTCTAGAGTTAGCCACCACTTAAGTGTATCATGAAGTGTATCGTCTGTTTCTTACTTCTCTGTGGAGAGCCTCGCTACAATATCAACCGTGTTACTCTCAATGCTAGGTTTACGTTTTTACGCAGGGAAAAAAACAGGTGAAAAATAACAGATTATATGATAATTGTTGAAAATTCTATCTCAATAAAACCAAAACGCTATTTATGTATAGTGTTTGTGATTTGTATTGCCTGCAAAAGCTAATGAGATAGAAATAATTTATAACATACTAGCTGTAACCCGCGGGCTTTGCCCCGTTTAACTTCTTAATTTTCAAGATGATCTCGTTCGCATGGCTCAATCACGTCCTGGTTGAAGTTCGTTCGCTACGCTCACTCACCTCTAGGTTGGAGCTCGTTCGGTGCGCTCACAAGCCTTCAGGTTAGCTCGTTCGCTACGCTCACTTGCCTTCAGGTTAGTTCGTTCGCTACGCTAACTCGCCTCCAGGTTGAAGTTTGTTCGCTACGCTCACTCACCTTTTGGTTGCAAATTAGCTGTTGTCATAAATGTAAAAGAAATAATAGTGCTGCACCCTGTTGGTAATCCTTGTAACTTTAATGCTATTGAACATCATAGAACAGAACCAACTTGTTTAACTGAAACAGCTGTTAAGATTCATTAATTCCATTTCTCATAAGGTTAACATGGGAAACTCCAGAGCCACTGGGGCGGAGCCGATTGGACGGATCACGAAATTGATGGTGTATAAACCTATTCCATGAAATTCTACACGTATGTACCAAGTTTCGTGGCAATCGGTTCAGCGGTGTCTGAGTTCATCACTGCCAAACAAATATATATCTTCTATATATATATAATATATATATATACAAACATCCTCTTTTATACTTATAAGAATAGAAGAAGACTTCTTACTATTAACAAATTTGGTACATATTTGTTTCCAGGGAAACAGGTTTAAAGGATTCTGAAATTAAATGAAAGATGCCTGACAGCTGT